ATCACTATATCTATTTTAAGCAAAGCATTCTAATTGCTTGTAACTATATACTCTGTATAATCATTTATTCATATAGTTTCAAAACCTTTATACTTTATAACTACCATTCATTCTGTTATGAGTAATTTAAAATGCCCATTAAATCTATGCCATTCTCCACTAGACATTCCAGTCTCATTCATAATAATAAGCTTTCGAGCTTAAATGATACTATTAAAATATCCAAAAAATTTTTTCAAATTTGAAGTTGCAAAATGGAGATGTGATCCTAAGACTTAATCACCAATAAAATCAGTAATAATATTTTTCTCATACTGTTGTAATGTAAATTTTAGAACCAAGATTACCTGAGGCTTCATCTCTAGTTTTTGCATTAAATATACCTCCAGTTTCAGATATATTCGTCAAGTCTTTCATTCTTACTATAGATTACATTCTTTATATGCCAAAAAATTAGATCCATAATTTCTTTATTAATTTCTGAAATTAGTTTAACCAAAAATCTTATAAAAAAATTAAAGAACTTTGTATCATGAGTTGAAGTATTTAGTGAATATAAAAGAAAATTAATATTGCAGTAAAGGATTAAATCTTTGGTAACCATCTAATCTATTAAATTAATTAACTTCACTGGCTCTTCTTTTAGCTCAATTAAGTTAACTTTATACTTAGTAAGATCTAATTTTAATATCATATCAAAATATATTTTACTATTCGTATCTTCTATTTTGAGCATTTAAAATCTTGATATCTTTTAAATACAAGCGACTATTACCTTAATTGCATCATAAATCTCATTATAAGAAAATTTCCGTTCAGATACACACATATCTATTAGATCACGTATACAAAATAATTATTAAAATTTAAAATTCTGAATTATTCTAGTTTTACGAGACTTATTTTTGATCTAAGGTAGTTTCACTAATAGTAAGTTTTTTTGAAGGTTTTCTGGAACTGGATTTTCTATCATTATTTGTCCAGTAATAAAAAAAGCTATAGGATTTTTATTTTGAATAATATATGCATTATCATTATTATATTCTCAGTCAAATATTAGATAGTATGATAGAAAGATATACAATAATAGAAATTTATCAGGAAAATTTTTAGATAGATATGAGAGACTATATCCTTTGATGCTAGCCTCTTGAAGTAATATCTCTACTAGTTCAAATTTAGCATCAGTGATAATATTATTTATACTAAAATATTCCTTCATTTCTGCTTTCAAAATAACCAAAAGAGGATTGTAAATGACTTCTGACTTATCATTAGGCAGGCGAATTATGAAGTCAAAGATAAATCCATCTTTCAGATGTATGGTTTTTTTTATCCATACATGAGTGTTAGTCTTTTCATCAAACTAAAGTGTTCTAATAATTCACAAGAAGAATGTTTATTTATTTGCTATGTTAGCAATAATACTATTTGTCTATAGAGTCACTAAGATTTTTTTATAAACGAGCTTAATAAACAATGCAACTTGAGCAATATTTTTAAATCTTATGCTGTAAGTAAAGATATGGTGAGACATTATTTTGCATTACTACTACTAGCAACAGTTATGGTTTACGATCCCAATCTAAAAATATATCTTTATAGTACAGATAAGTGAATCTTGTATCTCTACCTGTTAGTTTAGGTTTAATAGAATCATACACCTCTTATAGCAAATTAAAGTCTTTAATAGGTCAGAATAGCTTATCACCATCAATAAATTTGTGTAAAGAATAGCCTTCATATTCTGAGAGTATGGCTTTTATTTTATCCTCATTATTTGCATCTAGAAAATGTCTTAGCCTAACACTATTATCATGAATTTTATATTAGCATTATTCTATATCAAAGGTTTTAAACCCATAATAGTATAAGACAAGCATTTTGAGAAATTCTGAAAACTCAGATTGGCTTATAATAAAAATTTTCAGATATATTATCTAGTATATTATTTTAGTATAATACCCAAAAAAAAGTTTAAAATAAAATAAATATTATTATAGATATAAAAGTGTTATCTAAGAATAATATCAATAAGTGGAAAATATATTTTTCACTACCTTTCTGATGAAGAGATAGTTTGTGAAAATAGAAGTACGTGATTAAAAGAGTGTTATCTTTACTGGAAAAGACACCAGTGAGCTTTATGCAAACAAGATAGATGTGTAAGACTGATGGCTTATAAATATAGATTTTGTAATTTGTATGTAAATAAATGCTATTTGAAAGCAAATTATCATCAGAAGAAATTGGATAAGATGTTTCAGGACTGGCAAACTCCAAAAGTGTTAAGAGAGACTCTCAATAGAATGAAAATACCTAATGCTATAAGTTGACCTTAATGACTTATCAAAAATTTGGCCCTATAAAAAATTTATAGAAATGATAAAAAACTTAACAAGGATGCTAGAAGTATCTTCTTTGATGATTTTAGAACTCTATGAATACAATTTTACTACTTATCTTTATATCCCTATAAGTCCCTATGAATTTCTGAACTCTTTACCTTTTTTATTTTTTTATATATATATACCATATATCTACTATATATCAATTATATCAACCATATATATACTATATTTACTCAAGTGATATATCATAAAAAAATTTTGATTTTTTTTCTAGAACTTTTATATTTTATAGAGACTTATAGAAATATAAGAATAAGTAATAAAGAATCCAATAAATCAAACTAAGAAGCCAAAAACAATATCAAGATTGTTCCTATAAGTGTTTCTATAAATTTTTCTTATAAGAACAGAGAATTTTCATAAGGATACTCAAAGAAAAAATTTGCATACATATTACTTTAACCCAGTTAAGATTATGATTAAGCCTTAAAAGAGCTTACAATATCTCATCAATATACTGGCTACAAATAGGTAATAGTTGGGTCATAAATAATACACTTTTAGTAATCAAATAGGTCAAGTTAAGATAATACATATTGTATCTTCAACTTCAAGATGTGAAATTAGCATACATATACTGACAACTAATAGGCAATAATTAGATTACAAAATAGTGCACTTTTGGTAATCAAATGGATCAGCCATAGAAATATATATTATACTTAACTAACTAAATTTGCTAAATTATATGGCAGAAGGTATTCAGTGCTATAATAAGATCACGTGACTGATGCAGTAGGATACAATATAAATTCAGCCAGCATTATTCCACAATTTTGACCAAATCTTTGAACATAATAACTTAGCATTCAAGCTGACCTAAAACTGGTGAATTAATAGAAATACTCTGATTTTCTGTCAGTTCTATGATAGTTTTAGAACACTATCAAATTACCATTATAATACTAAGCTAGATTCTCAAATAATATGTCCAAAAGATTAGCCAAAATTAATCATGAATTTACTGCGTCACTTAACACAATATTTTTTTATCACATTTTGAAATCTAGAAAGGCAACCAAATAAGTGCAAAGGGAAAGCACTTCAATATAGAATCTAACATCCAATCAAATGCAGGAGGTTAGCATCTTAACATAAAATCAGATATCTAAACAATTACAGAAGGTTAACAACCTCATTATAGAATTTAGTATGTAAATAACTCAGAAATAGAAAAAAAGCGTAGTATTTAGATTTTATGTATGTGGCAATTAGATTATATTATAATAATAAATAGTATATTAGTATAAAAAATACGAATATTAAGAAAGACTTAAAGATATAACTAGAATGTAAAAGTGATATAAAAAATAATAAAACATTAAATTATATATAGTATTCAGACTATATTATTTAGATTATATGTAGTAATTAGATTACATCATTTAGATCATACATAGTATTTAGATTATATGTAATATATAGATTATATATAATATTCAGATCATATATAATGTATAGATTATATGTGATATTTAGATTATATATAATACTATAGTCTAGGGTAAGTGGAATACTACATGTAATATAATTTATATTATATGTGATATTCTACTATATCTATATTAATATTAAATAATCATTTAGTTTATAATCAAAATGAAGATAAAAAACAAAATGTCACAATTTTATATTTAATGTTATACTGGAGTTTCTGTTACTTATCAAACTATATATAATTATAAAAAAAAAGTTATCAGTAAACATTTATAGTCAATACTTAATATAATGAAGTAAGAGTCTAAGTCAAACAGGCCTTTATTATAAGAAAATTTGTTAATACTATAGCAAAATATTTAGTATAATATAATGAATATTCAGTATATTATTTTACAAAATTTTTTATTACATTAAAATTATCTTATTATAAATTTTATTTTATATATCATGATAATCTTGACAAATTTTAAAATAAAAAAAAAATTTAAGGTAAATTTTTTCTGCTTTTTCATTCATAATGTGTATTTAAAAAAAAAAGAAATAAAAAATAAAAGATTTAAGACATGAATGTAAGTAAACATTTTATTATACATCAAGAAGTTTAAAGGGGTATTTAATGTGTTGAATAATGCTATGTGTTATTCAACACTAAAATGTGTTAAGTAACGAATCCTTTGTAAACTGACACCATTTAAAATCATATTGATTAACATTATTTAAGTGTAAAGCAACATATAGTGTAAAATAACGTTATTTAAAACATGTTATTTAACTTAATTTAAGTATTGAACAATAGCATATAATAAAACAACATAGTTAAAAAATGTGTATATAATGTTTATTAATGTATTGATTAACATGAAAATAGTATATAATAACTAGAATTTATTAATTTATTTTAAAATATTTTATTATATTAATATAATTAATCTATTTAAACTAATTAAATCTATCTAAATCTATCTACCCTAGTAGTTCTATTATCTTATTTTACTTGTTTCATTATTAATAGTTTGAGCATAGTCTCAATTAGTTCAATTTCAACAAATAATCTTAATGCATTCTAAAAATAGAAGAGACATTAGAAAACATTTCTTAACATTTAATTGATAAAAATTCATATATATACCTTTTTAAAGACCAATTTATTCATTTTACAAAACTAGCACTATAAGTTAAAAAAGAAAATGAAATGTTTCGTTAAAAATATTTCTTAAAGTATTTTTTTAAAGAAATAAAATATTAACCAGTTCGTACAATTTTGCAAAACTGACATCCTATAATAAAAAGAGAAAAGAAACGTTTCTTATATATTTAAAAAGAAAAAGTAAAAAAGAAAACTTAACATAAGTTCAGTTTGTAGATTCGTAAAATTTTGCGAAATTGGTATTTCTATAATGAAAAAAAGGATAGAATATTTTATTAGAAGCATTTCTCATATATCTAAAAAAAAAAGTAAAATCTTACTATTTAAGTCTGATTCATCTAATTTCATGAAACTGGCATTCTTTACATAAAAAAAAAAGAAACATTTTATTAGAAATGTTTCTTATGTATTTTTTAAAAATAAAAAATAAATAAACTTATCATAAATCCAGTTCATACAACTTTACAAACCCTTGAAAAATTTTTCGCTGTATTCTTGAGAAAAATTCATTATAAAAAATTCCGTTATATTAAAAGTCATTTATATATATACAGTTTGAATACTTTACTTTGTATAATATTATACAGTAGATCATTAATTAAATTCATTATAACAAATTTTTTTTAATATATTAAAATCTGTTCTACAATAGTAATTTGATATATTGAATTATTTGCTATATCAAAATTTATTATATCAAGTATTAATTGTATTAAGAATAAAAAAATATTTTAATGATAATAAAAATCATCTTTGTATATATAATATATATAAAAAATGATATCTAATAATACTTTTCTATCAGAAGTAAGATTGCTTATTTAAACTCATTTTAGATTTAGCAAAATGTCTAAACTATAATTTCACTATATTTTTACTAAAGTTTTGATATAATTTCGCATTTTTATAAGCTTTGATATAGTTTTACTTTTTTTCAGAATTTCGTAGATTTTTTAATAAAATTTTAATATAATTTCGCTAAATTTTACCTTTTTCTATTTAGATAACTTGCAAAATCTTCAAGTTTCATTTAGCAATCTTAATCAAAAGCCATTTAATTTGCAATGAGTATATATAAAAATGTTGAAGAATCTCTTTTAATTCAATTATATTTAATAGAATATTTATTTATAATTAGTTTAGAGTGAAGTGAAAGACTATATAATTCTATGCTGTTTGACTTAAAATATCCATTTTCTATACTTATAAACTGAGTCAATCAATATTATTAGTTCTTATTAATGCATAAATTTTAAAATAGTAAAATAGCATGTTATTGTTTACATTTTTAAATTTAAATTAAACTTAAATAAATTATACCACTAAACTAAAATAAATATATCACTAAAAATATATCACTAAAAAATATACTACAAAAAAAATACTACTAAAAAAAATCACTAAAAAATAGCATAAAAAAAAAAATTTTATTCATTCTCTCGATATCATAGAAATTATATATTCTTCTTTAGCCTTCCTTTCTTGTAATCTTATGCAATTCTGAATCTGTTAAAGTTTTTTTAAGTAAACTGCTTGAAATAAATGTCGTTAAGCAAATGAACTCTTAATACTACAACAAATGAAAGACCAGCAGCAAACTTCTGACTTTTAAAATCTATTTTAGCCTTTAATAATGTAAGTTTTTAGCTTTTGTGTATCATTATCACCTATGCGAGACGTAAAGAAACCTAAAATTGAGAACACAATCTTTTGGATTTATTTTCCTAAATGCATTTAATAGGAATGATCAGAACTAAAGATGGCATTATAACATTATAACACTTATTTATCACCTGTTGCAATTTAAATTTTAATAACGTTGCAATTTATTGCAATATTGTGATACTTATTTATCACCTGTTGTAATTAATTGAGATGTCATCTTTAATCAGAATAACTTTGTTCCCTTCTGGTGTTATCATACTAAGACCTTCATAAAAATCAAATTTCATGAAAACTGCTGCTATTAGTGAAAGTGGTCCAGTTTCTATGAATATAATATTATATATAGTTCTCATTGACTCATTTACTAACCCTCTTTTAGTCCATATGTTAACTGTTAGCATGACCTGTGTATCTTTGGCCAGTAACAACTGCGCTTTAAATCCCTTTACAACATCTGAGTTAGCTTTTTTAGCCTCATGACCTCCAGTATGAATCACAAGAATCTTGGCTACTGGATCATTTAACGAGCTTAACATATCTATATTAACTCTATCAACATCAGCTAAAATGCTAAAGATAAATATAGCATCTAAAAATCTATTGCATTTTATTCTGTTTAATTTTCCTTCAAAGTATTCGCTGAATTTTTTTTAATTATCTAGGGTGCATTCTCTGTCTTGTAACCTCAAAAGTAACTCTCTAAAGCATTTTTACTCTTCTGAATTACCTGATTGATATTGAATTGTATCGAGTTTATATACTTTCTAGAAATTTTTATATGATATTATACCATTGTTAGAAGTTGTATCATGCAAAACTTTGTTGGCATACATAAGAAGGTCTATCACTAGTAGAAGTTACCCGAAATCACCAAAAAATATAATAGACTGTCTGCCAAAAGGTTCATTATTATTTTTAGGAAAAACTTCTCTTAACCTTTTATCAATTAAAGTAAGCATTCTCCTCCCTATCATGCTTTTTTCATCAATGATAAGGTAAATTATATCTTTTAATTTTTCTTATAGTTGCTTAAGCCTATTACCATCTAGATCTGAGCATTTGTTGTTGAAAATTGGTATTGACAATGTTGAATGTATTGTTAAACTATTAATATTAAAAGAAGCAACTCCTATAAGCGCGATCACCTTCACTGGTACTTTAGATCTACTTCTTTCTATTGTATTTAGCTTCCTTCATATTGTCCTGATGAGATACAATTTACCTATGCTTGCTGTACCCATAATTATTATTCTCAATAGTTCAACCAAATTTCTCGTAAGTATATTATTATAATGTGATTCTATTCTATTGAAAATAGTTTTTTGCTTTTCATTTAGGTTCTCGTAATCGACAGAATCATCTTCTAGGTCTATATCATTAATTAATGTCTCGTTGATAAAGTCATGCACTTTTTAATGTCATCAGAAGAATACCTTTGCTGAGTGTTATTAATCTAATTGTAATTCCTATCTATGTTTCGAGAACCTAGATCAGATAAATATACTATATTTACGTTTGTACTTATTTTAAAAAGACGCATTTAATTATATCTAAATTTTTTTTCTTCATTGTCTTCAAGCAGTTCGTCTTAGCTTTCTTCGTCCAAAACTCTTTTTCATTATCGATGAGCTATTCAAGCAAGTCAACCAGATTGTTATTAATTATATCAAGATATTGATAATAAATTGATGACCAAAATACACTATTCTCTTAACTGTTGAAGGCTTCTGTACTTTATATGAAGGATAACCTTTATTTGACAATACTCTTCCTATTTGTCTCTATCATAAAGAGGTGATAGTCATAACCATATGTGAATTATATTTTCAGTTTTGCATATTACCCAATTTCCTTTAACTAATTTATGTGTTAAATGCAATTTGAATAATGAAAATTCTTCAAATTCTTCAAGTCTACTCCAGTATTGTTGTAAAGCTGATTGTGTAGTCTGCTCTTCTTCTCTGTTGTCTCCACTTTCTGAGCCTTAAATTCACTTTACTGATTCCTTAACATTTAAAGAAACAAATATTTGATTTGAGTGGTATAGCGAAATACCTAGTAGAAGATAACATGTTTCTTGAGCTGATATGTCTCGTTCTGTAATACTACTAAGCAGCAATTTCTGTATTGATGTAAGTGAATTATCGTCAAAATTATCATTAAGAATCTGATTGAAAATCTCTAAAAAAGTCATTAACCTAGGTTCTCCTTTGCTTGTATACTTTGAAATATATTGCAGAGTAGTATGTATACTGAGAATTAGCTTTAGATTAACATTTGCCCACTAACCCTGCAATTGTAATCTATTGTGAGAATTAATAAGTGAATCATTACGTGTAGTTAAGAGTTCCAGTTGTCTTTTATCATCTTCTTGTATTAATGTATAATCTAAATAATCCTTTGAATATCTGAACTGATATAGTTCTTGCCTTAATGATTAATTGATATGAATGCAGTACAATAGATTACAATGTGTATGATATTATAGCTTGTTAATTAATTCAATATAATTCTGAGAGCCCATCATCAATTTCTTTTTCAACTTTTTAGCAGGGATGTCTTTCAAGAACGTTTGCATTTATATTTGAATTAATTGTGATGACCATTGAATTGATATATTAAATTACTTTATTCATTTCGTTTTTATTTAATTTTATTTCATTTTAATTAATGACAGATGCATTTTTAATTTACCTATCTCATATATATGTACACTCCCCTATGTTGCTATTCAAAATGATACCAATAATCTTTGAGGTTCCATTGTTGAATCAGTATATCTTAAAAGAAATTGTTAAAGCGTTTATTAAAGAACCAAATGGCTATATGCAAATTATTAATAAGATTCTTTTAATGCTATTTATCTGAATTAGATCCTTCTCCTAAATTTCCTTCATCTGGCATTAATTTGTAATGTTCTGACCAATGAAGATCCGCGATGTTAAATGTAAAGAAAATCAGACCTTGATGGCCTATTTGCTTAACAAAGTCTGATAATTCGTAACTTTGTGTCATCTAAAATTATCATGTATCATGTAGCCCTTTACCATATCTCATGATTTTATCAGCCAGATTTTTATCGCCTTCAGCAATCATTTCCTTTATATCTGTGATATCAATTAATCTATCACTTAAATTCTGTCTTATGAAAACTAAACCTTTTTGTAGCATCCTCTATTTTATCGTAAAATTTAATATGAAATACCTCCAAAGTGAATATTTCGTGAATTAACTATCTTTATACTACATTAAATATTTAAAGTATTTTGCTGGTTTTATGTCTTGAGACTGTTTAAAATGAAGATCACTGTATCTATATGAATAAAGTGTTAGAAATGCTCTCATTATATAACCAGACATCTGAAACTCATTGATAAGAAAGCCATTGATCTCTAGTCACAGTAAAGTTAGATTATTTTTTTACATGTGATTAAGTGTGTCATTGATAGCGATATCTTCCCTTTGTCTTAGAGTATTTGAAGGTAGTGATATCCATTTTAATGTTTTAGATTTATTGTCCTAGCTATATATCCTAGCTATATGTCTCAACCTGTCTCACACTATGTCTTAAATATCCTATTTATCCTATTTATGTTCTATCAATATCCTATTATAATACTGTTTAAAAGTATAAATAAACGTACTATTCCATCATCTTCACTTTCTTCGTCTTTTGAAATTTT